CCCAGCTCATCACCAGGCAACGCCAGCAAGTCCCTGGTGCCTTCGGGGCAGAGCTGACAGGCAACATGGGTGGCACAGCGTTGATTTTGTCACACCAGCCAGCGTGTGACCCAGTGCTAGTGGGGCTTTTGTTTCTAGATGGTGGACACCCTCTCTTCCCAAGCACCTATTTTTTTTTTTTTTAATTGGGCCTGCTGCTCTCGGTGCTGCGCTCGGTGCGTCCCCGGCCGCCGGCTTTGGTGCTGCCAGGTGCAGAGGCGGGGCCCCCAAGCATCTATTTTTTACCCTTTTTATTTACCTATTTATCTAACACTACCTTGTTGGACAAAAGACCAAAGTGTCTTTTTTTAAAATAAATATTTGTTTCTAGATGGTGGACACCCTCTCTTCCCAAGCACCTATTTTTTTTTTTTTAATTGGGCCTGCTGCTCTCGGTGCTGCGCTCGGTGCGTCCCCGGCCGCCGGCTTTGGTGCTGCCAGGTGCAGAGGCGGGGCCCCCAAGCATCTATTTTTTACCCTTTTTATTTACCTATTTATCTAACACTACCTTGTTGGACAAAAGACCAAAGTGTCTTTTTTTAAAATAAATATTTGTCTTGATTTCAGAGAGAAAGGGAGAGGGAGAGATACTGAGCTACGTCAGCTGGCTGTGTATCAAATAATAATTTGCAATCAACATTGCCAGAACAATTGCTGCAAAGTTGATAGGACAGTGGCAGCTCCTCCTCCCCAGCAGTCCTGAGTCCTCGTTGGTGCGAGGGGAGAGAAACGGTGTCCCTTCTGTGCATAGCCTGACCGCTCGGGAGGTAGCGGCTGTGTGTTCGGTTTGTTTTCCCTCTGCCACTGCCCGGTGTCCCTGAGCGAAGAGCACGGCGAGGTGTCAGCTCCAACTGGCAGCAAACGGGTCACAGGATCTACCGCTCACTCAGCACTTACTTTTCTCAGAAACAGCCTCACCCCTAAGGAAGGTGCGTCCGTCCTCAGTCCCAGGAAATGTGGATGTTCTCCTCCTGCCCAAACTCCAACCCCAGCAACGGTCAAGTGAGAAGCCCCGTGGAGTCCTGATATGTTGTCAATACGGTGACG